TTAATTGAAAACAGTATAAATGAGTAAGGAAAAGATCTATTATTGTGTTTTTCAAAATTAATAGAAACTTAAAACGAAGATTGTTGTAAATTGTATTATTTCTCATGATAATCAGCTGTTTAAAAATTTATAAAACAATGCTTTGATATTACTAAGATCGTTGTTAATAGCAAGATGACCTAAACTTTAACAAATATACCATCTATTGTTAATACAGTTTTAAGGTTATGAAATCAATGTATTAAATCTAATTCTTTCTTGGGATACTGCCCATTTACTCATAAAAATTTCAGAATCATATACCTATGAGCTGGTTAATCAGTCATGCCCCCAGGTTTTTATTATACCTATATTGTTCGTTATCCCTAACTGATAAAGTTGTGCACTATTCGTTCTAGTTTCGCAGATTCAATACTAACCGTCTTTAGGAGATACTCCAATGGGCAATAAATTCATTTCTAAAACTGCCATCATACTTTGCCGTTGATAACAGGCAATAGAGTTTTGTATCAAAATTACAGTCTCTGATACTAACATACCTAAATGGCTTAATGGCATGTGATTTATGTATCAAATATGCTTGGACCGTCACAATTAAATTAGTAAATGTGAATGTTTAAAGTTCTTCAGTAATAAAGAAATCTCTTAATTAAAAGCTAATGATTTATTTCTGAAGGAAAAAATAAGTAGTTAAGGTAGGGGCTAGAATGTGTTGATAATTTTCAACACGAACATACTTTCCCATCGGTATGTATGTCTAAGCCCCTATACACTTATATCCTATACAAGCAGTTGAATAATTGGAATTTTTGATGAAAGGGACCAATTTATCTATCAAGTTGGAATAATTTGTAAATCAGGGCTTAGTTTCTGCGAGTAATAACGGTGTGGCAGGCTTATGCAATGTATGATCATACCCTGGGTTGTCTACTTTTAAAAATGGTATGCCATGATGGGGCTAATTTTAATTCCTGGGCTGCTATATGGTCTCAAAGGCAACATAGGCCCAGCAACCCAATCTGGCAAATTTCAGGCCCTACATTTGACCCCTGTAAGTTTGCAAAACCCCATAAAACCTGTACATTGGGGGCACTGTTGTACTCGGGAGATGTTGCTAAACACATATTGGGGGTTTCTTTGTCAGTAACACATAAACGGAACTAAAAATCCATGCCTAAAGTACAATGTGAGAGAAAAATAATACAAAAAAATGACCACCCAAACGTTTGACGGAGACTGGTGGTAGAATTAGTGCATGGAAAGTGTTAAAATACCACTATTTGAAATACCCTAGGGTGTCTACTTTTCAAAAATATATGGTTTGATGGGGGTAAATTATATTGTCCGGCTTCAAAAATGTCCCAAATAGGACATGGGGGCATGATGACGTACTGTGAAAATTCCAAGTTGGAAAACTGGAATGCACACCTTCCAAATAAGGTCTTTTAGCCCCCAGAGACCCCAACACACATATACATGGGGGGTATCCCTGTACTCAGGAGATGATGCTGAACACATATTGGGTGTTCTTTGTCAGTAACCCTTAAAGTTCTCAGTACAAAATTCTTAAATTGCTATGTGTCTCAAAACAAATCACCAATTATTATTATTTTTTTTTTATTTGGCATAGATTGGTGGTAAAATGGCTGCATGAAAAGATTCAAAATACCCCTGGTTTAATACCTTAGGTTGTCTTCTTTTGAAAAATATATACATGTGAAGGGTTTTTCGTGGATTCCTGACAGATATCAGTGTTACAATGTAAAAAAAAAATTTCAATAACTTTGAAAAAAATTGGTTTGGAAATAGCAAAGTGCTACTTGTGCTTATAGCCCTACAAACTTTTTTAAAAAGCTAATAACATGCTAACATTGGGCATTTTAAAACTCAGGACAAAATTTAGAAACTATTTAGCACGAGTGTTTTTTTGGCAGTTGTAGATGCGTAGCAGATTTTGGGGGTTAAAGTTCGAAAAGGTGTGTTTTTTCCAATTTTTTTATAGTAAATTATATGATATGATGAAAATAATGGTATCTTTAGAAAGACCATTTAATGACGAGACAAACGGTATATAAAATGTGTTGGCATAGGCGTGCGCACGGGGTGTGCCGGATGTGCCTGGGCACACCCTAATCCCGCGGCCCGCCTATGCATATTGAGACCGGCAGGGGAGATCTCAGGATCTCCCCTGTCGGCTCAGGCAGAGCCGGCGCTATCCGAGCGCCGGCTCTGCTCTCAGCCTCCCTCCCCACTGACCCACATGCAGGGAGGGAGGCAGGAGAGGACCCGGCGGAGCTCCTGCCGGCAGCTCCGCCGGGTTCCTCTCGCGAGATATGAGCGTTGCCGCTGCAACGCTCAAATCTCGCGAGAGTGAACTCTAGCCCCACAGGGGTTAGAGTTCACTCTCCACTGGACCACCAGCAAGGATTCCCTCCTTCACTGCACCACCAGGGAAGGAAGCAGCAGCACGATCCCCCCTCCCTACAAAAGGTAAGAAGGGAGGGGGGATAGCAAATAATGTACCCCCACCTCCACCCCCCACAATCACCCACCCACACAGCACACAGACATACAGCACCCACAGACATACAGCACCCACACAGCACCCACACACATTCAGCACCCACAGACATACAGCACATACAGCACCCACACACATACAGCACCCACAGACATACAGCACCCACAGACATACAGCACCCACAGACATACAGCACACACAGACATACAGCACCCACAGACATACACAGCACACACAGACATACACAGCACCCAAACACATTCAGCACCCAAACACATTCAGCACCCACAGACATACAGCACCCACAGACATACAGCACCCACAGACATACACAGCACCCACAGACATACACAGCACACACAGACATACAGCACCCACAGACATACACAGCACACACAGACATACACAGCACCCAAACACATTCAGCACCCAAACACATTCAGCACCCAAACACATTCAGCACCCACAGACATACACAGCACCCACACACATACAGCACCCATACACAGCACCCACAGACATACACAGCACCCACAGACATACAGCACCCAGACATACAGCACCCAGACATACACAGCACCCACACACATACAGCACCCACACAGACACAGCACCCACACACATACAGCACCCACACACATACACAGAACCAACACACATACAGCACCCACACACACATACAGCACCCCCACACATGGCTCCAGCACCCACAGACATTCAGCACCCATAGACATACAGAAGCAATCTACAGACATACAGCACCCACACAGCACCCACACACATTCAGCACCCAGCAGACATACAGCACCCACAGACATACAGCACCCACACACATTCAGCACCCACAGACATACACAGCACCCACAGACATACAGCACTCACACACATACACAGCACCCACAGACATACATAGCACCCACAGACATACAGCACCCACAGACATACACAGCAACTCCACAGACATACAGCACTCACAGACATACACAGCACCCACAGACATACAGCACCCACAGACATACACAGCACCCACAGACATACAGCACCCACAGACATCCAGCACCCATAGACATACACAACACCCACAGACATACAGCACCCACAGACATACACAGCACCCACACACATTCAGCACCCACATACATTCAGCACCCACAGACATACAGCACCCACAAACATACACAACACCCACAAACATACACAGCACCCACCATACACAGACACCCATACACAGCACCCACAGACATACACAGCACCCACACACATACAGCACCCACAGACACACACAGCACCCACAGACATACACAGCACCCACACATATACAGCACCAACACACATACAGCACCCACACACACATACAGCACGCTCACAAACACACACAGCACCCTCACACACAGCACACATACAGCACCCTCACAAACACACACAGCACACTAACAGTACCCTTACAAACACAAACAGGACCCTAACAAACACACACACCGCACACTACCAGTACCCTCACACACAAACAGCACCCTCACACACAGTACATTAACAGCACCCTCACAAGTGCACACACAAACAGCACCCTCACACACAGTACATTAACAGCATCCTCACAAGCACGCACACACAAACACCCTCACCCACATAGCACACTACCAGCATCGTCACACACACATCACACTAACAGCACCCTCACACAGCACACACACACACACACACAGCAGTGTGTGTATGTGTGTATATATGTGTATGTATATACATACATACATATATATATATATATGCGGCATGTGCTTGTGCTTTAGGGTGCACACCCTAATGCAATAGGCTGCGCACGCCTATGTGTGTTGGTACAGTAAATGAGTAAGAGGAAAATTACAGCTAAACACAAACACCGCAGAAATGTAAAAAGAACCCTGGTCCCAGCGGCAAGAATTTTGAAAAACAGCCTGGTCACTTAGTGGTTAAAGTGTAAGAAGACCCTGCTATATTGAAGACTCCATTCCACACCTGATTAAGGATGATGTGCCTGATATTCTCTGACCTTTTGTGAGTTTTCCTTATAATTATTGCGTGTCATTACTTCAATTTACACTGATCACACTATGTTCAGTTTGTATCTCTTATAGACCCCACAGACTACGTTCTCACAAAATAAGTCGAATTATTATTCATCTGTTTATACCTTGGGATTTTACCTTGAACTTGGGAATTTATACTCTGATCCTTTGCATTTGCATTCCTAACTATTTATATGTTTTACTATTTTCTGTGACCTACTAGTAATTTATAGAACTAAAATGTATACAAGAAAAATGCATCTAATGCTGTGACTATTATTTCTGCGGATCTCTGATTTCACCAGCAGGTGGCAGCATGGCCACGCGTTGTACACCACCGCGTCTACAGAGATACACTGAGGGCATTAGGGCGATCCAACATGGCCGCACCGACCTCATCAGAATCTGCCATCGTCATCATTGCGACTTTCTGGCACATATACGGATCTTCTCTATGGTTAAAGCGGAAACGGAAGAGACTCTGTTGAAACGTGACAGAGTCCAGAGGAATCTAATCAGCTCCGTGCGGGTATGTGAGTGACGGTCTGACAGTGTGTGTGAGTGTCCTGTAATGCTGATACAGGGATAGAATGGCCGCACTGCCACATATAGCGTGTGGGCTATGGCAGACTGAGTGCGATCAGATCATATTAATAAAGCTGCCATCACTGAGAGAATGGACACCGAGCTGGATTAAAGGCACACTATAGGCCAGGCATAGGCAACCTTCACACTCCAGATGTTGTGGACTACATCCCCCATAATGCTCTGACACCCAGAATGCTGGCAAAGCATCTCGGGAGGTGTAGTCCAAAACATCTGGAGTGCCGAAGGTTGCCTATGCCTGCTATAGGCCGTCAGACCACTTCAGCTGATTGGGGTGCTCTGGGTGCAGTGTCCCTGTCCCCTTAACCCTACAGTGTTAGTTATTGTGGTTTCTGAGGTACTGCAATAATTACCTGCTAAGGTTAAAGGACCACTCTAGGCACCCAGACCATTTCAGCTTAATGAAGTGGTCTGGGTGCCAGGTCCAGCTAGGGTTAACCCATTTTTTCATAAACATAGCAGTTTCAGAGAAACTGCTATGTTTATTAATGGGTTAAGCCTTCCCCTATTTCCTCTAATGGCTGTCTCATTGACAGCCACTAGAGGCGCTTGTGTGCTTCTCACTGTGATTTTCACAGTGAGAGCACGCAAGCGTCCATAGAAAAGCATTGTAAATGCTTTACTATGTAACCGGCTGAATGCGCGCGCAGCTCTTGCCGTGCGTGCGCATTCAGCCGATGGGGAGGAGAAGAGGAGGATCGGAGGAGGAGAGCTCTCCGCCCAGCGCTGGAAAAAGGTAAGTTTAACCCCTTTCCCCTTTCCAGAGCTGGGCGGGAGGGGGTCCCTGAGGGTGGGGGCACCCTCAGGGCACTATAGTGCCAGGAAAACGAGTGTTTTCCTGGCACTATAGTGGTCCTTTAAGACTGCCTATAGTGGCTGTCAGTCAGACGGCCGCTGGAGGCACTTTCTGGTGGTTTGGCAAATTGGTCGCCTAACTGATACTGGTGAGGATGTCCAGCGTCAAGCAAAACCACATAGGAAAGCATGGCAGCAATGCTTTCCTATGGGTAGAGCCTAATGTGCTTGCAGTGTTGCATGCTGGAGGAGCCAGAACGCTGACCCTGCACCAAAGGAAAAAGTTGCAGGAATCGGGTAAGTATAGTAGGGGTATATTAACCCTTACTATGTGGAGGGTGGCCACAAGGGAGCTAAGTGCTAGGAATACAACTTTGTATAGTTAGCACTATAGTATCCCTTTAACTGGGATTCAATGGGGACTGGAAAATTGATTACATGAGAGCCATAAAATTGAGCTAAGTTTATGGTACAGGGTCCAAGAAAGACCCTGTTCACTACTGTAATATACTATGGCTTGATTTTGAATATTTTTTCCTTTTAATTTTTTTTTAGAAATTCAAAGACTTTAGAAATGTCTTCTTACACCTGCATCACATGCCGGGTGGCATTTGCAGATCCTGATATTCAGAGAGCCCACTACAAGACTGATTGGCACAGATATAATCTGAAGAGGAAAGTAGCTGATATGCCCCCTGTCACAGCTGAAAATTTCCAAGAAAGGGTGTTGGCCCAGAGAGCAGTTGTAGAGGAGCAAGGCAAAGAAACTGCCACGTACTGCACGGTTTGCAGCAAACGATTTGCCACTTTCAATGCTTATGAGAACCACTTGAAGTCCAAAAAGCACTTAGAGCTTGAGAAAAAAACAACTCAGGCTGTTACAAAGAAAGTAGAACTATTAAATGAAAAAAATTTGGAAAAGGGATTTGGACCAGAAAGTGTGGACAAAGATGCCATGAACAAAGCTATTCAACAGGCTATTAAACCACAACCTTCAATGTCTCCAAAGAAGAATACTAGCACTGAGCAAGAAAGTGTTACATTGTCTGTTCCAGGAAAACAAGTGGTGCAGTCCAAGACCAGGCCTGACAAGCCTCCTCGATTACAGTGGTATGAACAACAAGCCAAGAAGCTAACCATGCAGGAGGGCGAAAGTGAAGCAATGGCTGAAGATGAGGAGGAAGGTAAAATTAATGGGTTGTATTTTTCGATATGAAAGAAGACCTACCTCTCACATAAATTTAGCTTAATGATTTTTTTATGGGAACAGGAATGCCTGGGTGGTGGTTTGCCTTCATGGGGAAAAAACCCCAAAGATGAACCCTCAGCTCCTTACACCTATGGATGCTGCTTTAGTAGGAAGATTTGCTGGGCTTGGTTATAGGCAGACGGCATCATTTGAAGCTCTTAGCTTCACTAGCTGTCCACTCAGATACATAGTATTTACTGTTTCTCTTAATGGGCAGCTGACACTCAGCCAAGCACTGGCTGCTCGGAAATCCTTCTACATGCTGTTGTGGTTTGGAGAAAGAAATTGAGGAGGCAGACATTTGGATTTAGGGGAACCAACTTCGGTGCTCAGTCGGTTGGAAAACGGTTTAACACTTGGAGTAAGACAGCAACCAGATATTCCTTCTCCCATAACGGCTTAATTGATTTGAGGTTGTGAGTGTTCCTTTTATACTGTATTGTATACAATATATTATGAAGACACTTCGGCATAAAACAAAAATATTATTCTGTGAAACACAATTTCAGTATTACATTATTTGGCTAACTTTCTCTGTTTATACCAGTGTTAATTTTGTGGACTAACAATTTTAGTCCACTAATATTTTTGAGATTTAGTTGATTTAAAACTAAAACAATTCATGACTAAAACTAAAATGACCTTTTAGTCAAAAGACTATGATTAAAACTAACTTTAAATTTGCTGCCAAAATTGACACTGGCGGGGTAAGACACATTGGGGAGGGAGGAGAGAAAATGACACATGGGGGGGGGGTAATGAGCACATGGAGGTGCTTGGGGAGGAATTGAGACACATGGGTGCCTGTGGGGACACAAAGCGTCATAAAGGGGCTGGGGTAGAAAGAGGTATTGGGGGGGAAGAGACACACCAATGGGGCTATGGGACAAAGAGGCACACATAGTGGCTAGGAGGGGTTCAAAGAGCCACAGATGGGCTGTGGAAGAAGAAAAAGAGACTGACCAGGGCTTGGGAGAGAGATATTTAGAGGGGCTGGGGAAGGGACAAAAGAGACAGAGGCTTTAACTAAATGTATTAGATTTTAGTCATGTCTACTAAAATCTACAGAAGATTTAGTTGACTAAAACAATTCAGATGACAAACTAAAATGACTTAAGTCAAATTACTACGGCTAAAACTAAATTGCAATTCGCTGCCAAAATTAACACTGGTTTACACCTCTTTAGTCAACAAATATTCTACTGTGGCCTAGAATTATGCTGTTCATGTAATTGTATTGTTTTCTTGCTGTAACAGATGTTATTGAAATGTTTTCTTAAATTAGTTCTTGATTGTGTGTCAGATGAGGCAATATGACTTTAACGACTTTTGACTTGCAAGGGTTGGTGTTCAGGTCTTCAAGAAATGACTGATCATTAAAGGGATATTCCAGTGCTAGGAAAACCAATTTGTAGTCCTACCACTGGAGCTTTCTTACACTCCCTCCCCTGCAGGGTAAGTGTTTATAAACTCTTACTGTACTTACCCTATTCCACAGTTGATGTCCCTCAGCGCTGGGTCAGTGCTCCACCCCCTCCAATGGAGGTTGCTGCAGTGTTTTACTATGGGGAATTGACTGACACTGGACGTGAGGACGCCCAGCGTCACTTAGGCGACCAAAAGTCTGATTGACAGCCACTAGAGGCAGTCTTACCCTGCAAGGTAATTATTGCAGTTTTTTTGGAAGCCTTGCGCATCAATGCTTTCCTATGGGGAAAAATGACGCTGGATGTTGTCATGTACCGGACCAGAGGTCCGTTTCAATCCAGGAAGCCCTCTAGGTCTCTCTTGTAGACAGCCACTGTGGGCAGACTTAGTGCTGCAATATAAACATTGCAGTGTCTCTGGAATTGCAATGTTTAAAATTGCAGCACAAAGTGCAAAAGGGACACTGCACCCAGACCACTTCAATGAGCTGAAGTGGTCTGTGTGTCTACAGAGTCCCTTTAAGGGGACAATGTTACTGTACCTTGACCACTTCTGTGAGATGAAGTGGTCTGGGTGCCTGTAGTGTCCCTTTAACAAATACTAGCTGTGCCTAAAATGCTATTCAGTTTAGTTCCCATGGATATTGGGGTCTTTGTTTCACATTTTGTATACAAGTAACACAAACAATGTTTCATACAAACAATGTTGCTGCTTGTGGATGTGTATTACACAAGATGCTTATCTGCCAAAATAAGACTATAAAAATTGTTAGATTAGAAAATAATCTGTTTATTATAATTTTGAAAGAAAGGGATTAAAGAGCAAAGGTAGAACAGCAATACAGATGACATTGTCATTCTTGATGTCAATTCTGTGCATATTTTGCATCCGTCATTGGAGATGGAAGTGACTATCTTTATTCTCCCCTGCTTCCCACCTACTGTTTGCTACCTCCTGTCCATTGTGTGCTCCCTCCTGCCATTTCCCACAGTAAATTAAAAAAAAATAATTCCTCCACTGGCCAGCGGTGGGTTGGCGAAATACACCAATCACTCTGTTTGGACAATACAAGACCCCTGTGACATCAGAGAGGGCACAGAAGTCTGGTTTATTTGCAAGTAAACTACGAAGTTACTTATTTAATGGTTGCAGTTCAGTTATATGGGGAGGGAATGATGGCATTTATTTCATTAAAGGTGCACTCCAGGCCTTTGTAGTGGTTGTGGTGCCAGAACAGGTAGTTAAGAAATGTTTTTCTGCTTACCGGTTGCCTGCCACATCTCCACTTCTGTCCAGAAACTCTGCCACTGGGCTATGCCCGGCATGCAGGGCTGCACTCTGCTAATTCCTTTAGCCAATGAGCTAGGCCTTAGCACGGTAGAGCTAACAGAAGCCCTTTGCAGGTGCTATCAGTAGCAGTGAATACAGTGATGAGTGCTTGAAGGCACCAGGTAAGTTGCCAAACCATTTAAAAGAAATCTGGGAGGGTATCAGAGCACTCGTGCACCATAACACCTACAGCAGGCTTCAGTGGTCATGGAGTTTGAAGTGTTCATTTTATTGTGTTATGTATCAAAATGTGTGCTGTTTTGGCAGGCTGGGAAGATATGGATTATCCTGAGGAGGAAGAGGAGGATGATGCTGAAAGTGATGAGGAAATGGAGGATGTAGGTGTTGATGAAAGGACCCTGACTTCTAACGAAAGCACCCCACCAGTAGATGGCATTCCTATCACAGACTGCTTGTTTTGCCCTCATCACTCCCGCTCATTGATGAAGAATGTTGCTCACATGACCAAGGTTCACAGCTTCTTCATTCCTGACATAGAGTACCTTCAGGATCTTCAGGGCCTAATTGCATATTTGGGTTAGTGTTCTTCGGTAAATGAGTTCCAATGTTTATTGAACTTACCAAGAAGTTGCAGCAACTCTGTGGCTGTCTTTCCATCATACTGAAGTGAATAGTATGGTTTTCATCTCACGATTAAGCAGAAATAAGCACAGCAACACAAAACTGTGCTTTAGTTAGTACAAATAACCACATCTGTCCATTGCCTGGCTCTTCAATGATGACTTTACACACTGTGTACTGTCATCATAACAGCACGAGCTGCAGGGATATATGTATTTCTCTGTACTAATTAAATCACAGCACCATGTTGCTAATCTTCATCCTTCACCTTCACAGCAGACCTTCAGCCCCACCAACTGTAAATTAAGGTAGGGAGAAGAAAGAGGTTCTAAAGGGGAGGGGAGCAATGAGAGAATTGGCAATTTTTTTGCTTTTAATTACAAATAACGTGACCATTCACGTGAGAAGATGATGGATCAGTGAGTAGAAAATACAATTTATGCTCTGCTCACAATCTCACTCTCCACACACACACAACCCTGTGTTCATACCTTGTTCTCCCACAAAAATAAATCACTGCATTTATTCATTAGTTACTATAACTGTTTCGTGACAGTGGTTTTTTTTTTTGTGTTTTTTTTTTCATATTCTTTTATTTATTATGCCCTATTGGACACTATTGATCCTATCAATTCCCTTTAATTAAATAAACCTATTAATTAGACTAAAACATACCTTGAATACAGCGCTAGGTGAGGTCCTCCTCGCTTCGTTTTCACACCTAGTCTGTCATCATGCCACGTCTTTTGGTAGAGAAGCATTTGATAGAAATCTTCTACCGCTCGGAACACATGGGCCGTTGAGAGGACAGAGCGAGGGGTGGGCTTTAATTAACCCCTTAAGGACTAAGCCAAATGTACACGTTGTGATTAAAACAAAACCTGGAATTTGACTGTGTCTGTTCAACCGTAATTCACCTCTTTCATATTATGTGCACCCACCCTTATTATATATCATTTTATTCAGGTGAAACAGGGCTTTCATTTAACATCAAATATAAACACTAACTTTGGCCAGTATGTGCGACCAAGTTTCTATGTTAAGGGGACAGGAGCACTGCACCTTGCCACTTCATTGAGATGGATTGGTCTGGGTGAAAAGTGTGCCTTTAATTAAAGTATCTTACATTACTAACTTAAAGGAGCACTATAGGGTAAGGAACACAAACTTGTATTCCTGACCCTATAGTGTTAAAAACACTATCTGACCCCGCTAAATATAGTCACTTTATTTCAGTCTGCTGCTGTGACTGCCTCTGATATGCTTCCTTGCCTGACATCAGAATTTATGATCTGATTCAATCACAATGCTTTTCTATAGGGAAGCATTGGATTGCCGGAGCTTGTCAAGGAGGCAGATCTGGGGCAAAGCCAACAAAAGCCAAACGCAGCCCTGGTCAATCAGCATCTCATCATAGAGCTGCATTGAATCAGTGCATTTCCATGAGGCTAGTTCACTGTCTCCATGCAGAGGGTGGAGACACTGAATGGCAGTGCTGCACTAAACTTGGAATATAATTACCTTCAGTCCCTTTTTGTTTGGGTGTATGTGTATCATGTATATTTCTTGTAATTCTTTCACTATATGTGAATTTATTTGTCATAATGTTGGTTATATACACACACTTTTATTTTGTATTTTATCTCTTCAGTTCAGGTAGATACACAATTCATTTATTGACTTTTGTGAATTGACTTATTGAAGTGTTTCTTCCACTATAGGTGAAAAAGTTGGTGTTGGGAAGATCTGCCTTTGGTGTAATGAGAAAGGAAAGTCTTTTTACACGACAGAGTCGGTCCAAGCACATATGAATGATAAGAGTCACTGCAAGCTCTTTACAGATGGGGATGCTGCATTGGAGTTTGCAGACTTCTTTGATTTTAGGTAGCAAGTTTGTGCCCTCCATTTTTATACGCTGCACAATATTTTTATTAGAACTGTATATTTGTATACCTCCTATACTGGAATAGAATTATGGGACCTGAAAATGCACATACCAAAAAAAACAATTGGCGGTGACCCACACTGCCATTATTATACATTTCATGCACAAGTGAAGCGAAAATGGGAAGCTAACTTGCATACACTTCTTTAAATGCATGTATTTTCTAGGCACCAATTTTAATGCAAGTATAGTGAAAAAATATATATTTATATTTAGCTGTCATTTTAACTGTTTCCTGAATTTAGATGTTACAAGCTAGAGACACTCAAAACATCATGCATATATTGTATTGCTTTTGCACAAAATTAACTGTATTTTGAATACTTGTATGTTCAGCATTCTTTCTTACCTGTAAATCCTCCAACATCTAGGTAAAACCATGCTTAGCAGGTATTGTGACTGCAAACCATATATTTAATTTGTTTTCAAGGTTTTTTGATATTTTGGTTTTGTGACAGGTCCAGCTACCCAGACCAAAGAGATGGGGAGGACATTGAGATGCTTGAAAAGGAAGTGCTAGGTGATAAGAATCTGGAATATGATGAAGACACAATGGAGCTGGTTTTACCATCTGGTATGGAACATTGGTTTTGCTCCTGACATACTGCACTGTGTCTCTCTCGCCATTTTTATTGATTGGGTGGGGAAGCATATCGAAATGGCAACTGCGATAAGCAGAAACAAAATATTGTGTATCTGGTTATGTGCAAGAAGTGAATATCTTGTGTATTAATCTCTATTTTGCTTAGTAAGAGTTTTTTTTTTTATATTAAATATCCCATTCTTACTGTACTGTACTGTAACAGATCACAAACCTTTGAAGGCAATTACTATCCAAAACCTGGAGTCTTAAACTAATTTGAATAAGTTGGTTTCCAGTTGGCTTTAATTTACACCGCTATTAAACTTGATAGCTCAGTCCCTTTAGGGGTACACTAATTGCAAACATAATGCATCTGAACTGTAAGGTACATTCTTCTTGTCTAAAAACATGCTTAAAGGACCACTATAGTGCCAGGAAAACAGACTCGTTTTCCTGGCACTATAGTGCCCTGAGGGTGCCCCCACCCTCAGGGTCCCCCTCCCGCCCAGCTCTGGAAAGGGGTTAAAACTTACCTTTTTCCAGCGCTGGGTGGAGAGCTTTCCTCCTCCTGGGCTGAATGCGCACGCGCGGCAAGAGTTGCGCGCGCATTCAGCCCGTCGCATAGGAAAGCATTTACAATGCTTTCCTATGGACGCTTGCGTGCTCTCACTGTGAAAATCACAGTGAGAAGCACGCAAGCGCCTCTAGTGGCTGTCAATGAGACAGCCACTAGAGGATTAGGGGGAAGGCTTAACCCATTCATAAACATAGCAGTTTCTCTGAAACTGCTATGTTTATGAAAAAATGGGTTAACCCTAGCTGGACCTGGCACCCAGACCACTTCATTAAGCTGAAGTGGTCTGGGTGCCTAGAGTGGTCCTTTAAAAGCTCTATGCTAATTTAATAAAGGGTGTATTCTCAGTCCGTTGAAATAGTGACACGTTTGAATTTAAACGGTTGATAATAGACATGCGTATCAAATGTTGTTCCAACGTTAGGAAGGTAGGGGTGCTATAAAAGCACTATACCATGAGCCCGCAGGCTATGTAATACGAGAGCTGGTTTCTTCCATGAACAACCTCGTTTTATAATCTCAGGATGGGTCTATCACTAGATGAGCTAAAATACCTCTCTTAGGAGAGTTGGCGAGAAGCCTAGCATTCCCTGCCATACAAGCAAGGATTGGCTTGTTATGTATTTTATTTGAGGTATTATAGATAATAGACCAAGAACAGGACATAGTGTTGGTGATACTGAAGTAAAATAGTAGTCAAATTGATGAAATAGAAACATTTGAATAAAAGAGAAAGAAAGAGTAAACTACATGTGTAAACTAATGTTTATCACACTGCTGTCACTTTAAAGATGGCAGTGCCTGCAAGGGAGATAATCCGGTAAGTAATGGATTTAAGATTAAGGTGACTAGAGACTTTGCTGCTGCTATAGCATGTTATCACTTTCCTACCTAGGTAGGAATCTGGTATTAAATTGTGATTGGGTACATTCTGAGACAGGTTTAGTGATGTTTTCAGTATCTACTAACTGATCCTGTTGCTGTTGAAGAGAGTGTTATGGTACCTGGTTTTGGCACAAGCTCTTCTGCTCGTACAGTTTTATTTGAAGTAAATGGTGAGCATGCTTGGATGATCTTCATTATTGTCAGTTTTGTGTTTTATGAAGTTTGCAGTGAACTATTTTTATATGTTCTTGAATACAGCTATTATGGCAGTATGTTTTCTACAACACTTAATGGAACATAGGAAAGTATTGGATTGGGTGAGATTGCCCATTCTGACAATCTCAGCCAAGGAGGTAGGGCGGTGGCAGAGCCAAACGATACCCTAGCCAATCTGCATCTCTATTGGGAAAGTTCAGCATCTCCATGCAAAGCATAGAGACACTGAACGTAATGTGTAGCACTGCCCCAGGAAGCACCTCTACATATGCAGCACTTCACAAGCAGTTCCTATTATCTGCTTTGTGTGATGCATCCTAGAAAATAATTAAATGATACAGCCATAGCAGTTTATTAACAAAGCTCAAGAAAATGCAGAGGATTTTGAGGCACAAAACAAATGGTGCATATCATGTATATCAATCCTATTAGGATTTATATTTTTTACTGCAACAAACTGCATTTCTAGAACTTGTTCTGATGTAAGAGGTAGAATGTAGATAAGGTAAACTTACACAGAGATTCACATAATCGTGTATGTGTGTATTTTTTTTTTTTTTTGCATGCTAAACCCACTAATAATGTAAAATGTTTCTGTTTCCAGGAGCTAGAATAGGTCACCGGTCTCTGATGAGATACTATAAGCAGAAATTTGGTGTTACCAGGGAACTGGTCGTCTCCAGAAACCAGAAAGCTGTGGGTCGAGTTCTGCAGCAGTACAAAGCCCTAGGATGGACAGGTGGTACTGGTAAGTCATATATTAATGCTTCAGATCTGCCCATAATGGCAAAGGTATCTTGCCTACTGCTGTGAGTTAATCAACTGTGTGCGCAGCAATGCAATCAACTATGACAACCTGGTTGTTGGTTTTTGTGTTTTTTTTTTTTTGTTTTTTTTTTTGATGGGTTGTTTTTATTTTGCCTTTCTTTTCTTCAAATATGTGTATTCACTGACTTGAATTTGTTTTCTGTCTGTGAAAGGTTCATCTCTCCAATACGGCGGTGATATGCAGTATATTCAGAAGATGAAATCCAAGTGGATGCTGAAAACTGGAATGAGCAATAATGCAACCAAACAAATGCATTTCAGGCCTCAAATTAGATATTAAACTGGTACTAATCTGATTAATTTCAAAAGCATTGCTGAGTGTATTACATCAAACATTCAGACGATACAGAGGATGTCACGTGGCTGTAAAAGGAGTGGCAGTAAATAAAGATAATTTGGTGGCATTGGTTTTTGAAAATTTAAATTCCGTGCCATTACTGATTTATGTTCATTTAAAAAAAAGTCAACAGTTCACAAGTATCTTCTCGTGGTTGGGATAGCGTCTCTTGAGTAACATTTGGATTAGACTGTATGTTTCTGTGTCATTTTGATAGATCCAGGAAATCCTGGTTCATGGTTTGTAGGAGTCCAGCCAACTTTGCTAATCGAACTTTGACTACATCGGTTTACAAGTAAAAACTTGATTTTTAAATATTTAATAATAAAGCCAACGATGGCATATAAAGAGGAAAAAACATGAATTTAAATCCTCTATATTTAAAACTCAAGCTTGATTTTGAGTAGACTCTTAATTAGTGTTTTTTAATCTTTTGAAAGGGACACTATAGTCACCTGAACAACTTTAGCTTAATGAAGCAGTTTTGGTGTATAGATCATGCCCCTGCAGCCTCACGGCTCAATCTTCTGCCATCTAGGAGTTAAATCCCTTTGCTTATGAACCCTAGTCACACCTCCCTGCATGTGAATTGCACAGCCTTCCAGAGCCCTATTTAGGCTTTCTTTATTGCAAGTTCTGTTTAATTAAGATTTTCTTATCCCCTGCTATGTTAATAGCTTGCTAGACCCTGCAAGAGCCTCCTGTATGTGATTAAAGTTCAATTTAGAAATTGATATACAATTATTTAAGGTAAATTACATCTGTTTGAAAGTGAAACTAGTTTTTTTTTTCATGCAGGCTCTGTCAATCATAGCCAGGGGAGGTGTGGCTAGGGCTGCATAAACAGAAACAAAGTGATTTAACTCCTAAATGACAGTGAATTGAGCAGTGAAATTGCAGGGGAATGATCTATACACTAAAACTGCTTTATTTAGCTAAAGTAATTTAGTGACTATAGCGTTCTTTTAAGGTCTGTACATGGTGTTAGGATGGTGACCAGTTCTTTAATTATAAAATAACTAATAGACCTGTTTTACACCTGTAACCTGGCTCTAAATTTCTACTTTCCTATTCACTCATGTCAGATGAACATTCAATACTGAAAAATTTAAATTCACCCTTGGTGAGTGTACCATTGATTCCAGACTTGCAGTGTTGAGTAACGTTCAGGCCTGTTCAGTAGGACTTTTTGAGCCCTGCTTGTAATCTAAATTATATTGAACATCTTTATTCAACTTTTTCCAGTGTCCAAAGGGCTCGCAATCACATTTGAAAGTGTTGTAGTATTATATGTATTGTGGAATGATTAATGTGTATATTCCAACCTGTAGAGCTCCACTCATAGGGACACTCCATTGCTTAAATCCAAGCAAAAATTACTGTATATTAGTTCTACTTCCAATAAAACATGCTTTAAATCCTGCTCCATTGAATTAACCAACTAGGAAGTAACAGGATTGGTTGTCTTATTGACAGCCAGGGGGTTTAGTTTAGTAAGGTTCTTTTCTAAAAGAGTCAATTTCAATTGAAATCTACACTTTTTTTGTAAAAGGAGAAAGGAAACAAAAAAGTGGGGGGGACCCTTCACACATAAAGCACTGTATCAAGCTAAAGAGCTTTAGGTGTCTGGAGTGTCCCTTTAAATAGTAACCGAACCCATTTTAGAACCCAACTCAGAGGTTATAAAAAAGTACACTAAACTGATGCAGAGTCTCTAACACTTTGTTTGTGGCTTACCGTACCAGTACATGAATTTGTTGATGCGCAATACTTTGAAAAATTTAAAATAAATGATAGTGCTCCACAATACTGTTTTTTGATTTAACATAACACTATTCTTATCAAATCTGTTTCAGTCCTGAAAATCAAACCTTAAAAATTAACCTCATCTTTTGAAAAAGTACAACATATATTTTGACAATTCAAATAAAACTTTGCACACTATATTGAATTCTTGTGATATTTTTCTTATCGAAATAAAATAAATCTTGGTTTCCAGAATGTAGGTAAGCCCTAATAAGATAAATGTCATTGCTCTTGTCAATGATAAATCATCCTTTAATTATGTTCAGGGCATCCCTAATCAATTCAAACGCTTGGAGAAGCAATCCGGCACACGACATGTGGTGATAGTTGTGAATCCAGAAGCATTGCTTCTAGCTTTAATTGGGGCGAATCTGCTTCATACATTAGAGGATACGTGCTTGCATTCACGGAAAGGAATGTAAGAAGAGACCTATTTCTAAATGTCAAAAGATAAGCAGTTTACAGAAGTACTCCGGTGGAAGCTATTTTTTGTAAGAAAGAGAACTTATTGTAGGACAAAGTTCATTTAAGCATAAAGCATTACATGAGTCCAAGTTAGCCAATTTTAATATAGGCTAGCCATTTATGGCACCTACAAGCGTGAGCCTTGGAATCAAGGTGCATTCCTTCACAGTCCTCTCAAGGGTCACCCAATTGTCCAAGGTATTTCCAGGTGTGCTAGTCACATCTGTGCGACTTTCATTATATTTTCACCACGGTTCCCTTATACTGGGCAACCCAAGAACCAGCTGAGGTGACATTTCTTAATCGGTTAAGCGCTGTAGACTCCAGAAGCAGGAGAAACTGGAATATAGGTTAAGGTTCGACCAACAGTAGATTTGGTTTAACAGATGGTAGAAATGAGCTTAAAAGTTAGAAACGTTGCCATTATGATAAACACAGTAACAACACGTACAAAATGTTCTTAATCAATAGATTCAACCATGTTCCCAGTCCACATGTCAAATCCCAATCCTCAAAGAACCTGGTGTCTTGCTTAATTTCTTTCACTAAGTTGTGTAAGTTCTGTATGTGTTTGTGTATCAAGGTCCCATGATCAGAGAGTTTAAAACAAAACATACCCTTAACAGCTTCACATCCTAAGTCATATTTCAACAGTAAATAATCAATAGCTGCTCTATTCTCAAGGATTGCTTTCTTATTAACCTGGTTATCCATTAGAAGTTCCTCCAGGGCCTCGGATGTTTCATTTAAACTTTTGGCGAGGGAAAAGGCTAGGGCATTAATTACTCGGGTATTATAAAGTGCTAAGCCTGGGACTCCTACCATAGAGTACACAAGGGTAGAGTATTCGGAATTAGATAAAGTGATTTCAGGGTTACAATCTGAAGTAAGGGTATTTTTGACATCCCCCCTGTCTCTCTGCGATTTGCGTAGGGTGGTTTCAGAGATCAGGTCAGATTTGGAAAACATGGTTAGGCCTGAGATTGGGACCTCCTTTAATGTTACCTAGGACATAAGCATAAGTAACATTTCCACAGGAGAAAGTCCATACTTTAGGGAGATAGACATGGTGATGGCAACTCATAACTTGGTGAGTTTGGTTACATTACCTGGTGGTTTTCAGGGCTCTACAATTCATGGTATTTATCCACCACGTGGGGCAAAACAGGGATTTAGTATTAGGGTCTCTTGAACAATTACATGAAAAATGTAGTGTTTTATGGGGTCTATGCAGGGGCGTACCTAGAGCATTTGGCACCCGGGGCGGCTCCTATTTTTGGCACCCCTTCCACCCCCAACTTTAAAATGTAAAAAACAACCATAATTAAAAAAAAAAAAAAAGTATTTAGCACTAAGCAGTGTTTATGCTTTTAAATGTAAGCATGTTTTTGTATGGAGTATGTTTGAGTGAATGTAGGAGGTGTGTTTGTATGTGGTGTTGGCGTTTGAATGCGGGCATGCATTTTTATGTAGTGTGGTTTTTGAAGGCAGTGGTGTGGTTATATATAATGGTGGAGTTTGTATGTAGTGTTGATGTTGAAATGCAGGGGTGTATTTGTGTGTAGTGTTGGCGAGATTCTGAGATGAATGCACATATACACACTGACACACATGCAGATACATAGACACATAGTCACATAGGCGTGCGCAGCCTATTGCATTAGGGTGTGCACCCTAAAGCACAAACACACGCCGCGTGTGTGTGTGTGTGTGTATGTATATATACATACACACACACACACACACTGCTGTGTGTGCTGTTTGTGTGATGTGTGTGTGTGTGAGGGTGTGTGTGTTTGTGACTGTGCTGTTTGTGTGTATGTTTGTCCTGTGAGGGTGCTGTTTGTGTGAGTGTTGTGTATTTGTGAGGGTACTGTTTGTGTGTGTGTGTGTTTGTGAGGGTGCTGTTAGTGTGCTGTGCGTGAGGGTGTTGTGTTTTTTTTAAAGGTGCTGTGTGTGTTTGTGAGGGTGCGGTTAGTGTACTGTGTGTGTGTGAGCTGTATGTGTGTAGGTGCTGTATGTGTGTGTGCTGTATGTTTGGAGGGATTTGGCAGATTAGTAAATCCTTGCTGCCATGTGCCATCCCTGGTGGTCCAGTGGAGGGTGAACTCTAGCCTGCAGGGCTAGAGTTAACTCTCGCGAGATCTGAGCGTTGCCGCAAGAGGAAGAGGAACCTGGCGGAGCTTCTGTCTTCTGCCTCCCTCCATGCTGCTGTGGGCCGGTGAGGTAGATCTTTGGTCTCCCCGCCGGCCCATGGAGGCTTAGAGCAGAGCCGGCACTCAGATAGCGCCGGCTCTGGGTGTGTGTGTATGTGTATATATATATATGCGTACACACAAACAATCACAGACACATTTACAGACACACACACTCACACATACACTCACAGACTCACACACACACACACACACACACTCACTCACTGACAAACACACACATACATTCACAGACACACACAGACACACTCACACACACAGACACACTCTCAAACACAAGAACAAATTATTATATTTTCATTTAAAAAAATGTCCACCCAGCCTCCTACCTGGAGTGCTGGCGTGGACTTTTCCCTGGGGTCCAGTGGGGCGGGCGCCTCTCTACGTCATATTCCGGCTCCCGGCATCAGCGCGCGGCGAGAGGAAGCAGAGAGCAGACAGCTCCCTCGCCGCGGCTAAGCTGCCGAGAGGGGGTGCGGATCCATCACCTCTTGCCCCTCCCCCCCCATGACAGGGGCAAGAGGTGAGACAGGGGTCGCTGAGTGCCTGCAGGAACAGCGTTCCTGCTCAAAAAAAACCCACTGTTCCTGCAGGACTCAAACCATAGGCGTGCCACGGGGATTAGGGTGTGCCCAGGCACACCCGGCACACCCCATGCACACGCCTATACATAGTCACACACAGATACACAGACACACATGGAGACATAGTGACGACTCTAGGAACAATATATAGGGGGTGGGCACATAAGATACCACAATCCAAACTGGGGGGGGGGGCACTAAAACTTTTCACTAGGGGATGGGGTAATGTGCTGCCTGATGCCAGCATGCAGTGCACATTGGCATTAGTCAACAAATTTGCATATAATTCACATGAGCCACCCCGATTTCTTGTTCGTGGGCTAGCTGACACCTCTTAACGTCGATCTTTGTTTATCAGATAACTCCCTTATTTGCTACCCTTATGTGGGATTGCCATATTTAAGGACACCAAATAAGGATAAGGGAGCTATCTGCTAAACAGCACCCTAATTTGGTATCTTTAACTATGGAAATCTCACATAAGGACACCAATTTAGAGAATTATCAACTAAACAGCTAAAAGATCAATTTTTAAAAAAAAAACCTTTTCTTAATTTCAGTTGTTTAATAGATAGCGCCCTTATTTGTTATCCTTATGTGGGATTGCAATATTTAAGGACAACAAATAAGGGAGCTATGTACCAAACACATACACATTTATATACACACACAATAACACAATAGGTGTATGTCTGTGTGTGTATATATGTGATTGTGTGTGTGTGTGTGTATGTATATATATATATATATATATATACACACACACACACACGTGTATGTATGTGATGTTTGCGTGTGTATATCTAATTGTCTGTTTGTAATTGTATGTGTGTGGGTCTGTGATTGTGTATGTCTGTGTTTGTGTGTGTATCTCTGTAGTTAAGTGTGTGTGTGTGTGTGTGTATATATACACACACACTTAACTACAGAGATACACACACATACAATTACAAACACACATAATTAGATATACACATGCAAACATCACATACACACACACATTTAATAATTAAGAGGTCCATCCAGCCTCCCTACCTTGCTCTGGGAGGGCTAGAGTGGATCCTCAGTCCCTGGTAGTCAGTGGTTGCTGCTGGGATCTCTGTGCTCTTCATACACACGTCCCTTGCACATCCTGTAATATGACGCCGATGCTTGGATGATGTTATGTGTCGACTTACTGCAGGGCGAAGACAGTCAGATACAGTCAGATGTACACAGTTATACGCATATACTGTCAAATACAGCCACATGCACACCGTACCAAACACATAGTCACTTGCACACTGTCAAACGCACAGCTGCAGGTAGACAGCAACACACACAGTTACAGACAGACAGTCACATACACACAGCTAGAGGCAGACAGTCACACACACACACACAATTACAGGCAGACTGTAACAGTTACAGGCAGCACATAGTCACACACACTCAGTGACATGCAGACAGTCACAGGCAGACAGTCATACACAGTCCCAGGTAGACAATCACCAAAAGTCAGTCTCACGCACAGTCACAGGAAGACTGTCACACTCAGTCCCAGGTAAACTGTCAGAGGCAGACATTCACAGGCATAGACAGTCACAGATGCAGTCCCAGGTAGACAGTTGTGATAGAATTTAACTTGATTCCAAGGCTCAAACTTATAGGTGTCATATAATGATATCCTATATTAAAATTGGCTAACTTGGACTCAGGAAATTCTTGATGCTTAACACAACACTTAAGACCCCCACCTGAGATGTCTCTTCTCTAAACTTTGTGTTCTTTCTTACCTTGGAACTTATTTGTTATGTGTACATGATGTTCATCCCTATGTCTTATCGGTACTCCCTTCCTATTACTGTTCCAAGAGTATTTGCATATAAGCACTTACTTTTTAATGTATAAAACCCAGCTGATGAATAAAACGTCAGAGGCTTATTTTGAATACCAACAGGTGTCTGGTGTCTAGTTCTCGCTTCTCCAAGTGCACTTGTAATAATAATTTGGGCTTCCTCTGAATATAACTAAGATCATTATTTGGATCCACAACACAGTCACAGGCAGACATTCACACACAGTCACAGACATTTACAGGGAGACAGTCATAGACGCAGTCACAGGCAGACAAACACAGAGTCACAGGCAGACAGTCACAGACACAGTCACAGGTAGACAATCACACACACAGTCACAGACAGTTACAGGCAGACATTCACACACACAGTCACAGATAGTCACAGGCAGACATTCACACACACAGTCACAGACAGACATTCACACACACACACACAGGCAGACATTCACACACATAGTCACAAGCAGTCTCACACACACACACAGGCAGACAGTCACAGGCAGACATTCACACGCACACACTCACACTCTCTCTCGCTTACTGGTGGAGGAGTGGAGTCAGTGAGTCCCTGGTGTGTTGGAGTTGGGGAAGCAGGGACTCCTTCCTGCTTCCACTCAGTGTGCTGGCTGGCTGTAGCTACGCCCCCGCATCCGGTTTGGCTCCGCCTCCACGGCCTATATATATATATATATACATATATATATATATATATATATATATATATATATATATAACTAATACACACATTAATATACATGTCATATACCAGTGGCGGATACAGAGCCTGAGCCCGGGAGGGGCACTTGTAGATTATTTAAATAAATATTCCATGCACAATAACCACTACTCCTCTGTGTAGTGGTTATGGTGCCAGGAGTGTCGGCAATTGCACCGTTGCCCCCCATCCACCAGTGATATATACTGCCCCTATGTGTGTCTCTTTATCTCCAGCCCCTCTGTGTGCCTTTTTGTCTCCCCCAGTCACTCTGTATGTTTCTTTCTCCCCCTCACTGCTCCTCTGTGTCAATGTCTCCCCTCTCCTTCCCAGTCTCTCTCTTCCCCCTCTGCCTCTTTCTCCCCCTCCCCTTGTGTGTCTCTCTCATTTCTCCCTCTTTGTCTCTCCCTCCCCCCTTTCCCTGTATCTCTCCCCTCCTCCTCATCTCTCCCTCCTCCTCCCTCCCCTTTCCCTGTGTCTCTCCCTCCTCTCCATCTCTCCCTCCCCCTTTCCCTGTGTCTCTCTCCCTCCTCCATCTCTCTCCCTCCCCCCCCCTCTCCTCCCTCCTCCCCCATCTCTCTCCCTCTTTCCCTGTGTCTCTCCCTCCCTCCCCATCTCTCTCCCTCCCCCCTTTCCTGTGTCTCTCATCTCTCCCTCCCCCCTCTTCCCTGTGTCTCTCTCCCTCCACCCCTTTCCCTGTCCCCATCTCTCTCTCCCTCCCCCTTTCCCTGTGTCTCTCCCCTCCCTTTCCCTGTGTCTCCCTCTCTCTCTCCCTCCCCTTTCCTGTGTCTCTCCTCCTCCCCATCTCTCTCTCCCCTTTCCTGGGTCTCTCCCCATCTCTCTCCCTCCCCCCTTTCCCTGTGTCTCTCCCCTCCTCCCTCTATTCCCCTCTCTGTTTCATTCCCCCCCCCTTTACCTAGAGAGGTCAGGGGGGCCGGCCGCGTTCCAGGCTGGAGCCGCCGGGCGGCAGCTTCGCCAGTCTGGCGGCACTCCTGACACTGCTGATGGCTGAAGGAGGAGGAGCATGTCTCTGTACCATGCTCCCTCGCAGTTCCCAAAATTCCCAACACAGGAACCGCGAGGGATCATGGCAGACATGCTCCTCCTCCTTCAGCCATCACCCACAGCAGTGACTGGAGTGCCGCCGGACCGGCGAAGCTGCCACCCGGCCCGGCAACTCCAGCCTGGAACGCGGCCGGCACCCTCTCACTGTGCCACCGGACCGGCCACCCGGTGGCACCTATGTGGCAGTGCAGCCCCCAGATGCCGCGGCCCACCGGGAAATTTCCCGGTATCCCGGTGGGCCAGTCCGGCCCTGGAGATGGGGGTAGGGACAGCTATAAGACAAGATTGTATGGCGTTTTCAGTACTGAGGAGAGGGTTGAAGCAAAAGAAGGTTAGATTAAAAGCCTTTGCTATCTGCATCCATATATCTCCCTGCAATGCATTCATATTTTCTGGTCTTACGTCAGAGTAGCATATCTGAACAGAGCATAGAATGGTAAAGGATAAGAACACTTTCATGATGGTGAATCGGTAGGGTGCACTTGTTTGCAGTGGCTGGCATGTATCCATGTGGGATTGCTTTACAGTTTTCCAATACTTGGAAGGGACCATCAAATCTTGGCTCAAGTCCTTTTCTCACGTGTCTTTTTATCACTACCAAATCTCCAGGTTGTAATTTGAGTGGTAGGACTGGAGTCTGGGTCTGGAATAGAATCAAACACTTGTTTATGCACCTGCCCTAACGTCTTATTGAGGGCCTGGACATAGATCATGTTAGTATGTTGTAATTGGAGTGTTTGGGGAAAATAGAGTCCTGTCTTTGGGACACAACCAAACATAATTTCAAAGGGAGACAACTTCTAGGACAAGGGGTGAATCTTATAGAGAAGAGAGCTAGGGGGAGGCATTCAGTCCAGGGTTTCCCTATCTCTTGCATGGCATTTGCAATTTTATTATTTAAAGTGCCATTTGTCCTTTCTACTTTCCCACTACTCTGGAGGTTGTAGGAGGAGTGGAAAGCCTGACTGATCCCTAGTGCAGTGGTTCCCAAACCAGTCCTCGTGGAACCCCTACCAGTCCAGGATTTAGGGATCACTCTGTTGTGTCCAAGGTGTTTTTTTTCTTCTAAAAACACCTTATATACAACTGGGTAATCCCTGAATCCTGGACTGGCAGGGGTTCCACAAGGACTAGGTTGGGAACCACTGCCCTAGCGCATTCATAATTTCTTGCATTATCTCTCCAGTGAAATGGCTACCTCTGTCACCTTCAATCACTTCAGGTACCCCGTATCTACGTACTAGTTCCTTCAGAAGCTTACTTGCTGTGACCTTCGTTGTGGCTTTCGATACTGGGTGGGCCTCAGGCCAACCTGAAAAGAGATCAATGCACACCAACACATATTCATACACTACTACCTTAGGCAGTTGAATATAGTCTATCTACAGTCGCTGAAATGGGTAAAGTGCCCTTGGTATGTGTTTACCTGGTGTTTTGACAGCCTGTCCTGTGTTTTTTAGCACAAATCATGCCACTCAGTGGGTGCTTACTATACATGTCATGTTCATTTTGGACAAATGGGTCTGTGCCATAATAGGGTATAGAGTTTGTGATAAACATAGTTGTGATGAATTGAACTTCCCCACTGGCTTTTGGAGAGGCATGCTTGCCAGCCTCTTGCCCTGTGACTATGGCCATTTCCCTTTAAAAACACTGTTTGTGTCTATTGTATTTTGGAGCACTGTTTCTGCCTCTTTAAATTGTACTGGTACAGTTCTGCACTTTTGAAGTTGCACTTCGGATGCAGCCGAAGAAGTCGAAGTGGCCGCCATTCGACATACGAACACGTGGCGGTGGCCATTTTAATTCAGTTGAACACGTTCAACGGTGTTTGGTCGTCAAGTTCATGGAACTCAAATTGGATACGCGACGGCACGAACACCGCTGAACTTTACCTTCTTCAGACTTCGACACTTCGACTGGATTCGAATGCCGTTCAACAATTCGAACGGCACTTTAACATTGACAGTTTGCATGAACGGTTGCCATCTATTTGAACTGAATTTAACATTGGAAATAGACCGGCCGCACAGCCTAATTCTGTGGAACGGTTTTAGGCATGAAAATGTGCGTGCGTGCGGTCAGTCAAATGTGATTTCTGTGGAACTTTTGAACCCCTGCTCTGGTCTGTGTGATTTTTGGATATATTGTTCACTCAGATCAGGGCTATCCAGGGATATAACATGGGCATGTGTTGTATTTTGGGGTACTTTTTGGGGTTTGGAAAAATGTATGTTTTTTTCCTGCCTGTGGATAATTAAGTTATTCTATTAGCTAGCTTAATTATATCACAGGCAGAGGGGAGGGCTTGCTGACTGTATGTGGGAGTGTTACTATGTGAATTATTGTTTCTATTGGTTTGGTGACTTTGTGTCCTGTGCTTCACAAGGTCCACGTGGGTGGTAACCTTGTGGGAAAAATGTGTATAAAAGAAATGCCTTTGTGCTCATTAAAACAGAGTTCTTCTTAACCCTCAGTACATAACCTCGTCTCGTTATTGTAGGGGAACTGCTATAATCACTCTGGGGATTGCTATACTTGTATACTCCCCTGGGCTCTAATCACTTAGCTCTTTTAAGAGCTGTTCCTGATACGCTCTCCTGGAAGAGAGGTCTTTCCCACACAGTCCTGGATGTCGGGGGTTCATACAGGGTGGAAGGAAGACGGCAAGACTCCAGTTAAGCTACGGCGATTGTGTAGTCTGTGGTGGTTGTGGTGTCTGGTGCGGTGCTTATGGTCCTCGGTGTCAGCTAGGAAGCCTCCATCAACAGAGGTGCCCAGTCGGGGTGCAAGGTGATCCGTTACAATAGTCTGTTACCTTTTCTCCACATCTTGCCATCATCAGATTCTGCATCTTGTTTCCTCCAGAGGTCTTGTTCTTCTTTGCTTGCTTGCTTCTGAAGGCTCAACAGTATAGTGTAGTTAACGGCGTCGTCTGTAAGGACAACCTGTAGGGAGGTATAACCTGAGAGTGTGGAAGGTTGAAGTTGGATTGCCGCTTGCTTGGCAGCTTCTTCTGCTTTGTGGTCTCCTTTTGTAATTTCACGTGAGCTGGCACCTTGATGATGCCTACTTGAGTGGGTAGCAGGATAGCATCCATAAGGGTATTCACGGCTTCAGAGTTCTTTATTGGCGTCCCTGCTGAGGTGAGAAAATCATGAGCCTGCCATAAATCATGGGCTATACCGAGAGTCTGTGTAAATATTAGCTGTCTTACAGGAAGCCAGTTTGCACGCTTCAGTGAGTGCCTTCAGCTCAGCCTCCTGTGCAGAGCCGTGAGGGGTGAGTGGTACAGCTTTAATTACCTCATGTGCAGAGACTAAAGCAAATCCAGTGTGGAAGTTGCCCTTCTCATCAGCATATCTGGAACCATCTACAAAAACCTCAAAGTCTGGATTAGACAATGGGGAATCAATTACATGAGAAAAACCTCTTGTGCCATTAGAGCTGCACAGTCATGGGGTACCTGAGCTTCAGCTAACTCATCTGGTGACAGAGAATTTACGAAAAGATCAGAACTACCACTCCCATCTTTTAAATCCAGGGGAAGTAATGTAGATGGATTTAATACCATGCACCTCTTTAAAGTGACATTTGGAGGCATGAGGAGAGCACACTGCATCCTGAGATGCCTTGTAGTATGTATGTGTTTCAGCTGAACTTGTGATAGAATGCTGTTAATGTCATGCGTGGTGTAAATGGTGACGGAGTTATCTAGGGCAATATCGGTGACTTTGTCCAGTAGGGCAGTAACAGCAGCTACTACTCTTACACAGGAAGGGGAACCTCTGGCAACAGGGTCCAACCTGGTAGAGTAATAGGCAATGGGTCTCTGTTTCCCACCATGGTCCTGAGATAGGACAGCTGTTGCATAACTAGCCTGCTCGGTGCAAAACAGGGTGAAGGGCTTTCTTTAATCTGGGAGACCCAGTGCCGGGGCTGAGGTGACAAGCAACATAAGGGTGTAAAAGGCTTCAGGAGTTAAATGAAAGGGTTCATGGGTGAGGCATTGATGTATTCAGCAAATAAACATGGTGGGAAAGTAGCAGAACTGGAGCTGAGAGTGGAGTATGGTCCTTTAGAAGAGAGCAAGAGGCAGGTTTGTGAGATAGAAGTTACTCTGGGAGGCTATATGCATTCCCATCAAGATGGGATATGAGGGACTTCTTTAAGGTCACATCAAAAGATTGAAGACTAGGGGAGAGTCTAACTTGGGCAAGCAGGCTCTTCCAAATAAATTGAGCTGCCCGCAAGAAGTCCTGCAGGCGTACATTTGCAGTAAGAGTGCGAGCTGCAGACAGGAGAAGGTCACCATTTATTTGGAAGGTGACCATTTATTTTGAAGGTCAATGGAGAAGGTCACCATTTAAGGTCACTAGTAGAGCAGAGAGATCAAGAGAGGGCATACCTACAAATCTGTGAAGAAATGTAATTGGGGCTATAGTTGGTTAGAGCTAAACAGGTAAGGGTTAGTATTCTTAATTGACACCTGTAGGGTACAGGAAGCCAGCGTAAGGATAGATAGGGGTGAGGTGTGAGAGGAGCCACAGAAGAGAAAGATCAGCCTGGCAGCAGCATTCCTCACAGATTGTAGGGGGGCAGTAAAGCTTCTGAGGGGACCAATTAGGAGAGAGTTACAGTAATCAATGCAAGAGATTACTACAGCATGAAAAAGCTCCTTGACAGCATCTTGTGTAAGCTGGAATCAACAGGTTTTAGCAACAGACTGGACGTGAGGCGCAAAGGTGAAGCCAGGATCAAAAATTAGACCTAGAGAGCAAGCTTGCAAGGATGGTATGAGGCAGGTAACATCAACCTGCAGGGAGAGTGAAACAGGAGGATCAATGTTAGGAGCAGGAAAAATAAGAAACTCAGTTTTAAAGAGATTAGGTTTTAGAAAGGGGGAGGACATCCAGCCAGAGATAGAAGAAAGGTAATTGGTGACACAGAGGACAGCAAAGGAGGAGATATATATCTGGGTGTCATCAGAGTACAGGTGGTAGCGGAATCCAAATTAATTAATGAATTTGCCAAGAGAGGAACTATAGAGAGAGAGCAAAAGGGGACAAAGAACTGAACCTTGAGGGACTCCAACTGAGACAGGACGATGGGAGGATGTGTCATTGGAAAATGAGACACTGAATGAATGTTGGGAGAATAGGAGAAGAACCATGAGAGAGCTGTGTCACAGAGAACAAGAGATTGAAGAGTTAGGAGAAGGAGGCCATGATCCACAGTGTCAAAGGCAGCAGAGAGGTCAAGAAGAATTAGTACGGAGTAGTGGCCTTTGGATTTAGCCGCAATTAGATAATTTGTAACATTAATCAGAGCAGTCTCCATGGAGTTGAGGGAGTGAAATTCAGACTGAGGAGGGTTGAGGAGAGAACTGGAATTCAGGGAGCAAGTCAGACAGGTAAAGACAAGTCTTTCCAGAAGCTTTGAGGAAAAAGGGAGCAGGGATATAGGACAATAGTTGGAAGGGGTAGCTTGATCAAAAGATAGCTTTTTTTTTTTTTAGGTTGATAGCATGTTTAATGGGAGCAGGGATAATACCAGAAAAAAGAGAGCAGTTGAAG